GATGGACATATCGCTGGTGAGACTTGAAAGAGGAAAGCTTTTTACCCCAGAGGCGATTGTTTTGGGGGTTGTAAGCCTGCTCTACAGTGAAAATTTTTTTGTCAGAAAAAAACAATCCTTTGGAGTGAGGACTGGTTAAACCGTTTGAGCAGCTGGCGGGACCTTTTAACTTGTTTCTTCTTGTTGATCTCTGTAAGCAGCAGCATCTTTTTTTTTTTAAGGCTTCATGCAGAGCTTTCCCCTGATGTATCTTCGCAAGGTCTCTTTGTCCACTCTCAAGGCTTGGGCAAGCTTTCTTCCAGAATGCTCTGGATTTCGGTATGGCATTTGCCTGACTCGTTTCTGGAGCTTCTCATCCTGGAACACGGAAGGACGTCCACTTATTTGACGATCTGCTGCTGATCCAAGCTCATGGTATCGCCGAATAATGCTGTAGATCGAGGGGTTTTGGTGAGCTTTGAGATCCTGGTTGCTGGAAGACCACTCTGGTTTTGAAAAATCACTGCTTCTCTTTGATGTTTTGGAACCATATCAAGAGCTTTCGACCTGAAACTTGGAAGGCAAATAGACCTGTAGTAGATGTTGCTTCACGCAAGAAATAGCCAGGCTATCACTTGCCCAACGGTTTTTTCAATAGGTGTCCAAGGACTTTTGAGTCACCCTGTAGACTTCTTAAATTGTATTCCTATATTTCGAATACAAAGTAGAGGCTACCTAATGATGTTTCTGTTTTCCATATGCCCTCCTCTTCTCGGTCCGGATAGTGCTGGGCATTTTCAATGGTGTTATGTCCACTTCCAAAGCAGACATGCTTTCATTTACAGCTGGCACGAGTTCTTCTGATGGAACGAATGCTGGAGCTTCCTTGGAATTTCCTGGGTTCTCACCATATGATGCTGATCCTATTTTCTAATTCATTCACTAATGTTTGATGAATCTTATTGTTATCGGAACACAGTTAATCACTAGTTGAGGCAGAATTAAAGCCGAATCGTCGCAACGACTTTCTTTTTGGAAATCACTTTCTTGTGCAGCTCATAGTCAGCAAACCGAATGCGATGCAATTTGACCTTTGTATCAGGGTAGATGTGAACATCATATTGTCGAATTCATCATCGCCACGTGATATTAATATTGACCACCCGTCAGTCACTCATGCAATCACGATCGGCTATATATACGAGGGCTGATCGGAAAGTAAAGAAAGTTGGCCTGTCTTTTTCCCTGCCTTCATTTCTGCCAACTGTAAATTAAAAAATTGGTAGTGCATGTGCACCACAATTCCTAGACATAGTCGCCTTCGAGATTGTGGCATTTGTCTTATTTGTGCAACAGTTTCTCGATGCCAGCAGCGTAAAAGGCAGGGCCTGTGCGCGTAACCCCACTTCACTTCAACGTCCTCATCACACGCAAAGCAGCGTTGACTGAGATGCTTTTTCCAAAAGGGCCAAACATATGGAAATTACATAACGCCTGGTCGGGACTGTACGGCAGGTGCTCGAGGACCTCCCAGCGAAACCTCTCCAACAGCTCCAGCTTGTGACAAGTTGTACGGTGACTCACGTTGTCGTGCAACAAGACCTTGCACCATTCATACACATTCTTTAGGACCATGTGATTCTCTCTGTACACCTTTGTCAGCTGTCTAAAGATTTCGAAGGGTAAAACATTTTCCGTCTAGAGTAAACGGATAACAACGCACTTCTTCGCGGGACCACGCATCTAAGCGTTTCGCCATTTTGACACTCCACTCCTCCTGACCTGCGCACAGATAATCGTAGAACTCTCATAGAGTTGCCTATTGTGAACGTTCGAATGTCTCAACTGTGCCAATAGTGATCCCCCTGGCGTCGTTTTGGCATTTCAGGCCAACTTACTTTACTTTCTGATCAGCCCTCGTATGTAGATGCTTGGGCGTCTGTATGTCCGCAAGCGCCATGTGCACATGCATGGCGCCTTCGTCTGCCTGGCTCCGAGTGTCTGTCACTCGAGCTCGCAATTTCCTCCAGCCATTGCTGTTGGATCCATTCTTGAGAACGGGAGAGAGAGAAATTGGACGTCTTGCGCATTCCTTTCTCCCCTACTTAGGGGGTGTTTACATATCGATGCGGACTTTCCTACGAGGACGTGTAAAACGCCCCAGCTTATAACAATTAGAGTTCCCTTTCATCCCTCTGGAGGAAGGATGACTTCCTCGCTGAAATAAGATCTCCGGCCCCATATACGAAGTCTGACAAGAAATTAACAAGACTGACAACTCTGTAATGCGTGTGGCAACACGGGGTTAGTAGCGATTGCTGTAACATGTCAGTGCATGTCTTAAGTCTGTGCAGTACTAAACTTGTAGTGATACTTGTTGTGATTGCTGAGCAATACCACTTTACCTAAAGTAGTGTTGGGGGCACTTGTAAAAAAAAGGTTGATGAATATGAACGAAGAATCAACTTGCAATTTGTTTTCATCAAACTCGGGAAAAGACCTACCGATTAACGTTAAGACGATGTTGTTGTATTTCTTCGACGGCTAAGAGATACCTGGTAGTGCATCGTGAGTTTGGTCTTTCTGGTAAAACAGCCAACAGCAGTTTCATCTACTTCAAAGGACTTAAACAACGGGTTCGTCGTGTGAGGCCGGAATTGTTCCCCGACAAGTGGATTTTGCACCACGATAGCACCACCTTCACACGCAGCGCTTTCCGTTAAAGGGTTGTTTTTGCAAAAAAATCAATCCCAGTACCGGAACACCCCCCCTTATTCACCGGATCTTGCTCTATGTGCCTTTTTATTGTTCCCTATTGTCAAGAAATACATCAAGCAAAAACATTTCGAAACCGTTGAAGAAATTCAGGTCACGACGGGCGTTCTAAACAGCTTGCAAGAGATTGACTTATAGAAGGGCTTCGACAGTTGGAAATAAGGCTGGCCTTCATGTATAGCTGGAAGAGGGAACTACTTTGAAGGAGATCACCATAGATTGCCATAACATAAAATATATATCTAGTAGAAAATACAGTCTCTTTATTTTGTCAAACCTCGTATATCAGGGTCTGGGTCTCTTTATCGATTGTGATCACGTTTTCGCATTGATCGGCACTCTCACGAGAAGAGTGACTCCCGAGGGTGAAAGCGGTTGGATCCCATCTGAATGGGATATAACAGGAACGCTTACCCATGGACTGGAAAGACGCCATCGGCCGCAAAGTAATCAACCCTTTCCTACAGCGTTTATTCATTCATATCAACGTTTTCTCACTCCTGCATGAAAAGTTGTGCACATGGTCTTATCGGCGATACGCACAGAGTTGCTATCGGTACGAGATAATAATTCCGCTCAATGTATGTATGTATGTAATGTCTGTATCGTACGCGTGAGCACCCTGTCGGTAAGGGGGAGGGGGACGGGCGGGGATATGCAAGACGTACAATGTCCGATCGGCTGCTGCGTAGAGCATTGATACTGACTTGATACTGATACGTTGACTGAACTTGTGAATATCCGAAAATGCTACACGCTTTGTATATGCCGACACGGAGTTCGTGGATGTCTTCCACGCGTTCGGTACTCCTCCTCGCTCTCGAGCGAGCAGTTTCTTTCGAGCCTTCGCTACTGGTGAACGAGAGAGAAAGCGGCTGCCACCTAGATTGTTCAAGGGGCCACTGACTGAACTCATGGGTTTCTGACGATGTTCAGGACCGTAGAGCGGAGGGTGAGTCAAAAGGGGCAATTTATCCCAGTTCCCAAGCCTGGGGGGGTCCACCCTGGACAATATATCGTTCAGTTGCATACCGTTCGTTAGAAATGAAAAGTTCACGGATTGTATTTAAAATCATGAGGGGAAGAAGAATAGATGGTGCTAGGACAAAATGTCACCGGACACAATGTCACGGACGAAATGTCGCGGGTAAAATGTCGCCAGGACAAAATGTCGCGGGAAAAATGTATTGGACTAATGTTAACGAGACATAACGAGACGCGCGATAGTGCTAACGATCATGTTGGAATCGTGCGCAGAGGTCAAGAAACGGATCCAAGTGTGACCCCTAGCATTTTAGAATAACCCTGTCGACGAACATATAGCTAAGATGATAACCATCTATAGACAATAGACCATCGAAACCATTTCAGGAAGCCTGTACGTTTCCATGCCTCTTACTTTGGCGAGTCATTTGCAAGAGGAATGTGAATGGTTCCTTCAAAGGGTTGATATACATCTTGACATTTCTTGGTGGAGGGGAGGGAAGTAACACAAGGAAAAATATTAATTTTCCTCTTCTTCCGACCCCCTTATAAGTCCTCCTCACCACTAATCCTCTTGTTTTAAAAAAGCCCGATGAAGGAGACTCCTACTCCCCCCGCTGAGATGCCCATAATCTAAAAAGGTCATTCAAAATAGATGAGGAAACGAAATAGCAGTGGAGGGAAAAAAAATCTACTGTATATAAAGCGGGGATTTGCAACTCATAACTCAATTCATCTGCCTACTGTGCCATTCCCTGAGTTGCTTCAAACACAGAAGAACGCGCTGAAGAAGCTGCCGCATCAAAACTACCGATTCACTAGGGAGAAGTATGGTGTTCAAGGGAAGATCATTTGGAGATGTGAAAACAGGACTTGTAAAGCAAGATTGCATACACTTGGAGATCATGTGCTGAAGGAACCAAGTGAGCAGAGTATTTTTGCATATCTATCCATTCGGAGAGCTTTGAACTAATGCATTTGCGATAGAAGTGGAAATAGTTTTCTGAAGTCTATAAGTAAGAAATCAGATGTTCTACACATGATAAGCTATGTAATAAATATATAATGTATATTGACTAAAATAGACATACTTCATGAAAAATTTTTATTACCAATTTATAGCTGGGATATATTTTTCTATTATGCTCTCTTTCTTAAGCCTTTCTTAAGCATTCGTAAGAAAAGTTCACAACCAATTTTCCTTTCGTAGGAGAACACAAGCATGGACCTGACCATGGTAGATCTGAAGTTGATCAAGTACGCGCTGATATGAAAAGACGGGCTAAAGAAACTGAAGAAGTCACCGGAAATATCGTTCAACATGGCATAGCTCTTGTTCCCCTTGACAAGGTTCATATGTTACCAAGTCAAGAAACTTTGAGCCGTGACATCCGCCATCAGAGACAGAAAGCTTTAGTTGGTCAGAAGGAAGTGGATCATTTTGCGAACACGATCACTGGAGAACAATTCCTGAGAGTCAAGGAAGATGGTTTCCTCCTGTTCGCAGCTTCAACTGACCTTGACATTTTGAGATGAAGTCAGCACTGGTTCGCAGATGGAACATTCAAGATTAGGAAGTCTTCATGAACCAAGTTCTTCACAGTTACATACATATCAGTTCATGCAATTAGCATGACGCAAGAATTTGAGTATCTCATGAGTGTAATACATTATCGTGTTTTCTTTCATATTATTTGCAATATATTATTATACCATTTATTGGTCACAGACTTTGAGCTAGCAGCAATCAACGCTTTCCAAGAGACATTCCCTGGAGTGGACATGACTGGCTGTCACTTTCATCTGGGGCAGAACATCTGGAGACGGCTTCAAGCAGATGGTTTGCAAAGAAGGTACATCGCGGATGCCGACTTCGCCTCAAGAGTGAAGTGTTTGACGGCTTTGGCATTTGTTCCACCTGACCAAGTAGCTCCAGCCTACGAAGAATTGATAGGCAGCAATGATTTCAGGGAAATGGATCCTCTTCTGGATTATTTCAAAGACAATTACATTGGAAGATGTAATTGTCTTCTCCGATTTCCCATTCCATTATGGAACCGATACTACCGTGTTTTCCATGACCTACCAATAAGCAACAGCACATTGGAGGGATGGCACCAAGCATTCAATCACTCTGTTGGGATCGCCCATCCGTCAACTGCTCGCCTTGCTCAGAAGTTGCAGAAAGAGCAACACTTGGACGCAGTAAAAAAATCGGCAGTATTAAATGGGACTACCACCTCTGAAGAAACGGAAGAAGTATCAACAAATTAATGAGGCTCTCCGTACAATGGTCGCTGACTTTGCAAATCGGGATATTGTACAATTTTTGTTTGACGTTGGACGCGTCGTCAACATCAATGTCCTGTGACTGAAATTCATCTGTCATGTGATTCCCCCCTTTTTGGACTTCGTGAATATCTTCATGTGGTTTATTATTTTGAATGAATGTACTTGGCTTGTACTTGGTACTTGGCTTTTTCCTGAAGCAAACTTTCTCCCTATACCTATCCCAGTTCAACCTCCAACCATATAACACCAGAACCACCATTTTCTCAGCGGTGACATTTAGTCCGGCGACTTTTTGTCCTGGCGACATTTTGTCCGGCGACAATTTGTCTGCTCACAGAATAGATAGGGGGCCCTAACGTGAATAATGCCCTCGGCCTCAAAATTATTGCGTTAAAAACGTAGCCTATGCCAGAGATGTCAAACATGATTAAGCCGGCGGCCAGATGGAACCCTTCAAGAGTGGTTGGGTCCACATTAGCAAATCTCACTCCAAAGTTTCAATTGCTTATATGTCCACGCTTTTCAAAACCAACTGTTGAAGAGGACATTGTCGGTCGAAAGAAATCAACTAGTGGGCCAGCAGTTCGACACCCCTGACCTAGATCGACCCGAAGATCGTTTAAGTCTTTCTCAGGTCATTCTCGAGAGCGGGATAAAACGAGTGCTGCCAATAGCGTTGTAAGGACCACTGAGTTTTAGGGTCGCCCAAAATCACTCGTGGATTATTCCGAAAGAGTTCGTGGAAGTCTTCCACAGGCTGGTTAGTTATGAATAACATGATTATTTTAACGCAACCTAACATAACCTTTCCAAACTTTTGAAATTGCTCGGATTCGAAAAAAAAAGTTTTCATGTTTGCATAATACCAACCTATCAAGAAATGTACAGATACCTTAAATCGCCTAAAGTGCCAAATGTGGGTAAACTTCTCAATCCACCAGTCAGAGAGATCGGTAAACTGAAATGATACACTTATGTCGACTTTTGCTTTTCGTATTATTTTTTCCAAGAAGAAAAGGCATTACATGGAATTTCGATTCATATCAGTCTCTTCCGAATCGTTCTGGGTCGCCTGAAAGGCGTCTGTGTGATTCCACGCCAGTTCGACAAGAACGCTAGCTTGACCACCTCCGATTTTGACGGAAGTCAGCAAACTCGGAAAGAAAGCCTTTAAAAAAAGCTAATCACAATAAAATGTTATATCTCGCACAGATCCTCATATACCGAGGTATATGCATTTAAATGTCACCTATGTTTGGCACCTGGCGCCCATACGGACAGGAAATGGAAAACTGTTTTGCAATAATTTCTCCTTTTTGGGTACAGGCTTCATTCTGATGTCATTTTCATTGTGAAATAGCCATCTTTATATGAATTCCAGACACTATTATTCAAATCCCACGCAAGAAGTTCCACTTGACCAAGCATTTTTATTACGTTCATTGGCTAATATCTACACTTTCCACATCTGGAATTCGTTCTTCCAATACTTCATTTGAAGATGAATGGTATGCCATTTGCAACAACATCAAGATGGGCACTCAATGGTTTGATGACATGTGAATATTTGACTTCAGCAGTAATGTAAAAAATTTCACTTGTTGGAACAGTTTGACCAACCTCGGTGACCGACGCATGCGCTTGTCTCTCCGCGAAACTAAAGTAATTGAAAATTAATTGAAAATTACTTAATATCTCCTGTCTAATGGCACCACATTGAAGAATGGCACTCAATTCCTTAATGCAATATGACTGTCGCTGTAGGGCCGACATTAATCTTGATTCAACGGTTACATCCATTCAGTGACCTACATCAGCACTTCGCCCTTGAATGCAAAGTAAAAATCCTTCATTCAAAAATGTATTAATAATTTATTAAGTTTCTGACGATGCCACTTTCTGGCATAGTAAAAAAAGGTTAAAATTATAATTTGAATGAAGGCATTCGGCTTTGACTGATTGATTGGAACGAATTCTAGAGGTGGCAAGTGTAGATATTAGCCTTTGAACTTGAACAAACTAGTCAACTGGAACTTCTGTTAGATTTGAAGAATAGTGTCTGGAATTGATATAAAGACGTCAATCGCACTCTGGAAATGACATCAGAATAAAGCTTGTACCTAAACTATAGGAGAAGTTATTGCCGAATCAGTTTTACATTTCCAGTCCGCAGGGGTACCAGGTGCCAAAAATAGGTTACATTCAAATAAATTTATCTAAAGATCTGCCAGAGAGATGGAAACACATTGCGGTACGTATCTTTGAATATCTTCCTCTATGTGAATGCCTATTTTCGTCAAAATCGGAAGTGGTCGAGGTCACGCACTGGTCGTGTTGCCGCGGCATAACCCGGGCGCTTTCAAGAGAATCAGCACATGCCGAATAAAACTAATAAGAATCGAAATTCAGGTAATTCCTCTTCCTCAGGAAAAAAAAATACAAATACAAAAGCTGACAGAAGGGAATCATTTCAAATTACCAATCTCTCTGACTGGTGGATAAAGAATATTACTAAAACTTGACCATTCGGCCGATTTAAACTATGCTTACATATTTCGAAAGGATGCTATAATATAAATATTACTTCTCTTTCAAATCTGAGAGATTAGAAATGAGTTGAGAAAAATGCGATAGGTGTGGCCAAACGTACATGATGTCTAGAAAGAATTGGAATACCTCTCAGAGAGTGAAGGAGAGAACGCATTTAAGAACGGCACTGATCATAAATGGTAAGAGAAATGGGAAAATATGGGATTGGACATTAAAACAGAACGCATGCCATATTAATCTCTGCAATGATATCTTAGCTCAGGCTGGTCAACTTTTTTATTACTGGTCCTCTTTCGTATTGTTACTCAAGATCTGTACGCGGTCTATATTAACTACTTCCCGCGCCACAACACTTTTAGTTTTCATTGTAATATGAGGATTTTCCCTTTTGATGAATGAACAAAGGCAAATAGACAGGACCAAACAGTGACTGATCTCTTTCTTTTCGAAAAGCGGGCTCAGTAGGAAGTGACTTCCGAACAATAATCAGATCTAAGAATAGGTCCTCCGTTTCCTTATATTTTGCCAGTTCTAAATTATTTGAATGATTATAGGTAACATGTGAGACGATGATTTCATGGGAGTGCGAATTGCTTTGAAATAACTACCTTTTTCATCATCACGACTTTCACAGGTGACTTCGAAACCAGGAGTTAGTAAGAATCAAGGCAAAGCCAAGCAAGAACTTCAGGGGAAGATCAATGTTAAAGATAAGAAAAAGAACATGGCAAGGAGCGAGTTCATCTCACATGAGGATGAGGAAGAGGAGGAAGAGGAGAGTGGGGAAGAAGAGGAAGAAGAACAGGAAACGCAGCAAAAGAGAAAGGAAAGAGAAAAGGTGTGCCTCAAGAAACTTGTAATTCATCAGTTTACAGTGACATGTGACTTGAAAAGAAAAACAACTATGGACTATGGAGAAATTCACTGAACATAAATGGCGCGAGAAATGAGAAACTTTGGATTATACTTCAAAACAGAACTCATGCCATATTAATGTCTGCAAGGATAAGTTGACTCAGGCTGGCCATCTTTTTTCATACTATTCCCCTTTCATATTGTTACTCAGGATCTGAAAGCGGTCTATGCTAACTACTTCCCGCGCCACAACCCTTTTAGCTTTTCATTGTAATATGAGGGTTTTCTCTTTTGATGAATGAACAAAGGCACATAGACAGGACCAAACAGTGACTGATCTCTTTCTTTTCGAAAAGCGGGCTCAGTAGGAAGTGACTTCCGAACAATAATCAGCTCTAAGAAAAGGTTCTCTCTTTCCTTATATTTGTTGCCAGTTCTAAAGTATTCAAATGGTAATAGGTAACAAATGAGACGATAATTTCATGGGAGTGCGAATTGCTTTGAAATAACTACCTTTTTCATCATCACGACTTTCACAGGTGACTTCGAAACCAGGAGTTAGTAAGAAGCAAGGCAAAGCCAATCAAGAGCTTCAGGGGAAGATCAATGTTAGAGATAAGAAAAAGAACATGGCAAGGAGCGAGTTCATCTCACATGAGGATGAGGAAGAGGAGGAAGAGGAGAGTGGGGAAGAAGAGGAAGAAGAACAGGAAACGCAGCAAAAGAGGAGGCAACGAGAAAAGGTGTGCCTCAAAAATCTCGTAATACATAAGTTAACCGAGACATACAGTGAGGATCAAAACTGTGACGATGTTACTCAAGACCTGTACGCGGTCTATATTAACTACTTCCCGCGCCACAACAGTTTTTGCTTTTCATTGTAATATGAGGATTTTCCCTTTTGATGAATGAACAACGGCACATAAACAGGACTAAACAGTGACTGATCTCTTTCTTCTCGAAAAACGGGCTCAGTAAGAAGTGACTTCCAAGCAAGAGTTGGCTCTAAGAAATGGTTTTCCGTTTCCTAAAATGTTGCCAGTTCTAAAGTATTCGAATGGTAATAGGTAACAAGTGAGACGATAATTTCATGGGAGTGTCAATTCATTTTAAATAATTTCCTTTTTCATCATCACGACTTTCACAGGTGACTTCGAAACCAGGAGTTAGTAAGAAGCAAGGCAAAGCCAAGCAAGAACTTCAGGGGAAGATCAATGTTAAAGGTAAGAAAAAGAACATGGCAAGGAGCGAGTTCATCTCACATGAGGATGAGGAAGAGGAGGAAGAGGAGAGTGGGGAAGAAGAGGAAGAAGAACAGGAAACGCAGCAAAAGAGGAGGCAACGAGAAAAGGTGTGCCTCAAAAATATCGTAATACATAAGTTAACAGAGAAATACAGTGAGGATCAAAACTGTGACGATGTTCATTCACTGGTCCACTTGACGAGTCATTACTCGAGTATAATGTTTTCAGTTAATTTAAATTTTCTGTTAACCATACTCCTACTTCCTGGCTTTCGATTGGCACTAGTCCTATGGCAACTGGACTCTTATTGGCTGTGCTACGGCGGTTCAAAGCGAACCTGGTCATTGTCACAGTTTTGTTCTTCACACTTAGACACACAGGGAAACGAATTTACTAATGCTTTCTTTATTTATTCTTGGCATTCAACACTGTCTGGTCACTTCTACGCATGTTCTCGATTAAGTTAAAGTATGTTTGAACTGCCATGACGCCCCACTCGGTATTAACCAGCTGCCACAACTCCTGAATGATGGCATTGCTCATTCTCGTATCCTGCCAGCCTCCACTTCAAGTGTTGCCCAAAGTGATCTATTGGGCTGAGTTCCAGCGATTGCACTGAGTATTAAAGGACCTTGATACCATGGTCCTGGATTCATTGGCAAGCCAGCCGCGGAGGTTATTCCATGTCATTGTCCTGCTGAAGCACCACCTCTCCCACATCGAGCCGGTAGTACTCCATTGTCGGGAACAATTCGTCCTCGAGAATGCTTGTATTCAGCTAAGTTCGAAATGGCTAAGTCTGTGTCTGGTACAACAGTTTGGAGAGTCCTATTCTCGTTCAGGAAAAAATGTCCCAAGTATTTTGAATGGAAAAATCAGCTCCGGAGAAATAACTCATCAAGGAATGGTACTCCAAGATTCTTGGGGCAGGGTCCAGGAAAACGAGGTCTGAAAGCTAAGTGTCCGGTCTGAGGAGAATGTGGCACTGATGCGAGAACTATTTGAGAGAGCTTCCAGGACTTCAATTAGAAAGGTATCTCTTCAGTTCAACCTCAGTCCATCTAGTCTTCAAGGAATTTTGAAGGATGCTGGTTGCGCGCCATATACAAATAAAATTGTTCAAGCTTTAACCACCGGAGATGAGAATCTTACACTTGAATTTGCTGAGGAGATGATCCAGAAGATTCCAGCTCATCCGAACCTCTTGGGTGTCATCATTTTCTCCAATAAGGCATACATTCAGTATCTTGGAAAAGTGAGCAAGCAAAACTTTCGAATCTGGGATCAAATGGAATCCGCACGAAATAGAAGAAATTCCCCTTCATTCTCACCGAATCACTGTCTGATGTGGGATATGGAGCCAACGTCTAATTGGTCCGTCCATCTTCCAAAGAAACATGACCAAAGACTCTTACCTCGACCCCATGAAGAAGTTCCTGTAGCCCCACATCTGCCATCTCCCGGAGATCAACGAAATCTTCTTCCAACAAGACGGCGCACCACGACAATTCTCCGAAGTGCAGGCTTGACTGAGAGATTTCCTCAACGCTGGATCGGAAGACGTGGACCGATCGTCTTAACCACGTGAAACCAAGACCTGGTCCCCTTGCGTCTGAACTTTCTGGAGGTATTTGAAGCAGGTGGTGTACCTGGAATCGCACAAGGATACGAACTCACTCCAGGACATTGGACCAGTTTGCATTTGCCTGAGTCCCGATTCTTCGAAAGAAGTTTGCTTTGTTTCTGGGAAATACTGATCTGATCGTAAAAAATGGTGGCGAGGGCCTTGAGAGTTCAGAAACAATGCAGATATAATAAAATAATGTTACGGTTGGCAAGTAAAATTTGATGATAATCCCAGGATACATGCCAATTTTTGTGGAGTTAAACGATGCTTGAATGGCACGCTATTACTTTTGGGACTTTACTTTTAGGACACGCGTTTATACAGTATGTACAAGGTCGAAATCGGTTTCGGGCCAAAAATCCGCTAATCTAACCTAAGTAATCCTAAAGCTAACCCTAAACCTAACCCAGCATTTTGGAAATGCCCAGATTTGAAAATTTGCCTATATTTGATACCTCTCAGAGAATGAAGGAGAGAACGTATTTAAGAACGACATTGATCATAAATGGTGAGAGAAATGAGAAACTTTGGAATTGGGCTTTAAAATAGAACTCATGCCATATTAATATGTGCAATGATATCTTAGCTCAGGCTGGTGATATTTTTTCTAAATGCTCCACATTCATAATGTTACTCAGGATCTAAACTCAATATATATCAACAACTTTCTACTCTACAACTCTTTTAACTTCTCATTGTAAGATGAGGATTTTCCCTTTTGATGAATGAACAAAGGCACATAAACAGGACTAAACAGTGACTGATCTCTTTCTTCTCGAAAAACGGGCTCAGTAAGAAGTGACTTCCAAGCAAGAGTTGGCTCTAAGAAATGATTCTCCGTTTCCTAAAATGTTGCCAGTTCTAAAGTATTCGAATGGTAATAGGTAACAAGAGAGACGATAATTTCATGGGAGTGTCAATTCATTTTAAATAATTTCCTTTTTCATCATCACGACTTTCACAGGTGACTTCGAAACCAGGAGTTAGTAAGAATCAAGGCAAAGCCAAGCAAGAACTTCAGGGGAAGATCAATGTTAAAGATAAGAAAAAGAACATGGCAAGGTGCGAGTTCATCTCATATGAGGATGAGGAAGAGGAGGAAGAGGAGAGTGGGGAAGAAGAGGAAGAAGAACAGGAAACGCAGCAAAAGAGGAGGCAACGAGAAAAGGTGTGCCTCAAAAATCTAGTAATACATAAGGTAACCGAGACAGACTTGAAAGGAAATAATCAATTTACAATAGAGAAATTCCCCCAGCACGAAGGAGTAAAATTAAGCACAATTCGGACTGAAACATCCCCCCCCTCTATGTTTGCATGTTAGGCTTGTCTATTTCGTGTAACTCCATCCAGTAAAATCAATATATCTCGTACTATGAACTGCTCGGCGGCCTAGATGCCGCTGTGGACTTATTGTGCCCAAGTACAGATATGGTAGCTGAACTGGGAATCGACATACATTGTCGTGAAGTCATGAACCTTCTGGTCCAGGTTGGACCCTCAAGTTTTTGTTAAACGTAGGTCCGAGATATTCCATTGGAGTCCATTGAACCTATGAATGAATTTGCCAAATATGTGATATTGGCCCTAAAGCCAAATTATTACAAGCATATTCTTTCTTACAGGGTATCCATTTCAGAATAAAAATTACCAGATTTATTTGAATTTGAGATGATTGGAAAATTTAGGCCAAATCAGGTTAGGCTAGCGAATCTCAATCTTCTGTTGTGACTTTGGTTTGGTGTCATGGCCTCCCCCCTCTCACACCGGTGACCCTGGTGAAGGGTCGCTCCCCTTTCTCTTGCATCGGAGTACCTAAGAACTGAACCCCACACTTGATTTTTTCATTTGATTGAAAAAATATGAAACGGATTGCAATGCTTGAGGGACCAGATTACGGCTAGGAATCAGATGATCATTCGCCTAAGTTATTGTTAACGAAGCGCAAATGCTTCTGGGCCAACAAATGATCGAATATGGACAGAACGGTAACAATAATGACGCAAATCTAATTTTCGAAGACCTGATAGAGGAATGTATTCGGAAATGTTGACTTGCTGCGTTCCCCCCTGGGACCCTCTTGTGCCCTAACAAGTGACTTCCGAACAAGAATTAGTTTTATGAAAAGTCCTTCGTTTCCTTATATTTTGCCAGTTCTGAATCACTTGAATGGGAATAGGTGACAAGTGCTAAAATAATTTAATTTTGATGTCAGTAACTTTTGAATAACTCATTTTTTTTGCAAATGACTTTCACAGGTGATTTCGAAACCTGGACTTAGGAAGAAGCAAGGCAAAGCCAAGCAAGATTCTAATTGGAATGTCCATGGTAAAGATAAGAAAAAGAACATGGCAAGGGGTGAAATTATCTCACATGAGGGTGAGGAACAGAAGGAGGTGAGTGGGGATGAACAGGAAGAAGAAGAAGAAACGGAGCAGGAGAGGAGGGAAAGGGAAAAGGAGCGTCTTAAGAATCGGCTTATTCATGAGTTAACCTTGACTCAAAACCTAGAAGGTAACATCCATGACCTATCATATACACTGAAAAGCAAAGTGATGCAAATTCGCAAGTTTATCGAGGGGGATGACCGATTCCAGCTTTCCAAAAACATGGTTTCCTTGAATATCAAGTTAACTATTTGCCAAAATCATTTGACAGAAGGGGGATGCGAAGAATCCGAGAAATGCCAATATTTGCATTTATGCCCCAAATTTCTTGTGGATATTTGCCCAGTTTCCAGAGATTGCGAAATCGGTCACGAAATCAATACGGATCATAACATTCAAATTCTTCAGCAATATGGGATTGAGAAGGGCAATCTTGAGTTGATAAAGAAACTCGTCCAACTGGATGTCGCCCCTGATTTCTGTGAGGAATACAATATCAAGAAATGCTGCAGTCGTGGAGACGAGTGCGTGAAAATGCACCTTTGTGCTGATTACGTCAGTGCAAAGTGTGATGGATGCAATTTGAATCACGACTTTGAACACGGCCAGTGCATAAAGTTGCTCCAATTGACAGGTCTACACAAGAGACGGACAGTGAGGGACTGGAAGAACTTCATAAGCAAGAAATGCAGCAGTAGTTTAATTCAAATTACAAAGCTCAAGGAAGCACAAAATATCATGCAGAAGTCAAACATGACGAGCAAACAGAAGGAAGAGCCGCAGAGGAATGCAGAGGATGGACAGAAGAGAAAAGACCAACATGACGGAGATAGAAAATCGAGATGTTTCCCGAAGCAATTTGTAGACAATGAGTCTGAACATACGATTCGCGAATCTTCTACATGGGATGTGAGCAATCCATACGTAAGTTCCTCGTATTCTGGTCCTCGATCATTATTCCATGTAATATACTGTATAAAGCGATTCTGAGTGACGGACTGAGTAACTCAAAGTATGATGATAATATGAAACCTTGCGGGGCCATTCCATGCCAACTGATCGACGGATGACGCTCGACCATCTCAGAAAAAAATTAAAAATTTATTGAGTTAAACGGTGTTACATGAAACTACAAAATCCAAAATATCTCATATCTATTCCCTTTGGTACACGAGATATGAATGTCGAAAATATTGGTTTTCAAGCACATGTGACCACTCTGGCGAATTTCGTAACTCTCAAACTATGCCAGCTAGAAATGCATGGAACAGCTCATATGAAAGGTCTGAAGTAGAATCCATTTAATGCCACGAAGCAAAGGTTTTCTGAAACTTGAATTGCATATCCTTTTTCAAAATCTACTAATTTCTCATAATTTCACCATCCCATTGTCTGTTGTGGGAGTAAACGTAACAAAATCAAAATCGTAGTGCTAAGAGACCACCTCTGACTCAGTTTTATGATATATGTATCATTTGGATTTTTCTTCCCTTACTCCTAGAAGAAGTAAGGGAGGAAGTTAAAATGGAATTGAAACCCTACTCATTTGACATACTAGGGTTTACTTTTTCTGAAAATATGGAGGAGATGCGAAAAATTAACTACGAACATATAACACAACATTTCAGAAGAAATTGCGAAATGGAGCAAGAGAAGTTTGTTGGTCCTGGTCGGCCGGTGACTTTTATAAGTTCAAATGAAAAGCCGTCTGTGCCAGGAGACTTCCCATTTTTTGTTTTCTAAAGAGCATTCCAAAGTTCATCTTTCGTAAGTGGTCCGTCTATCGTCCTGGCTTCTTCATTGGTTAGTTGCCTAATCTCCCCGCTACAAATTAATTATTGGGCATCCACTATTGTTTCGCCCGGAGGAGCACATGCTTTTGGCAGAGATGCTTAACAAACTAGACCATTTAATATAAGAAAAGGTCTTAATAGGAAGGAAAAGTGGACAAAAAAATAAGAGGCCAAGGTATCCTTCCTCACTCTCACTGTTTTTCTCCTATAAATAAAAATAAAAATAATGATCAGTATCCTTCTATTTCGGCGTTTGATGCTGCAGTTACGAGAACATGTGATGGGATTCGTAGCATCTCAAGAGGCTGTCAGTCCATGCAATCATCCAAAGCCGCTATGATAACAAGATCTTAACAGTCATGAAAGTATTAATAGAATTAGTTGAACCCAATGCTTAAATGGATCAAATTAAATGAAGCAATTGCAATGCAATTAAAGACACAATACGTCCCACTGCAACGTTATGTTATGGGGAAGAAATACCATAATAAGAACGCTATCAAATGATATAACAAAAATTAAGCAGTTGAACCCGTTTTCATAGATCATATTGAACTGAGCCAAGGCCACAACTGACCAACATTAGAAAATTCATAACATTTCGATACGTGACTGTAAAAGAACGAAACCTACAGGGCGTTTCATTTAAATTGTACATCTTTGAACGCTCATATCTCTGAGAGGACGCAACCGTTCTTTACGAAATTTGACCACAATATACAGCAACCTTTGCCAAATTATTGGACAGAGTTTCTGAATCGCAGCGCCATCTATTGAGTTGAAACACCGATTCTGACAAAACCTCTGAAACCAAGATCTTATCTACTTGATGAAATCTTTTAAAGCTCATCATTGATAATGCCTTGATCCAGTGGTGCTGAAAATTTCATGATTGTATCTCATCTCCTTACTAAGATATCAATCGTCACACCTTAGCCACTTAACCCATCCGCTTACACTTAATACTCTCAATGCCATGGATTTTTCCGATGGGCCTGAGCCCCTGTTACCATCGCCCTGACGCATGAGGCCTACGGCGCAAGGCTATGACGGCTTTAGCGTTACCCAGGATGAACCAACGTGGAGGCAGCCGTCGTTCATCCCATGGGGAGTTTTTGGAAGTGATTCCCCTTGCCTCCACGTCATCCACCATCAAGAATTCACAATCAGGAGATTATCCTTTGTGAAGCTTGATTTGCTTACCCTCAATCTCGATGCAAACCTGGCATCGGTTGAGAACCGAGTGGCACGCCTTCTGAACCATTTCCTGAGGGATGGTGTCGAACTCCTCCTTAATGATTTCTTTCAGCTCAGGAATATTCCAGGGAGAACGGGCGAAAACCCGATCCTTGAGATATCCCCAGAGGAAGAAATCAGGGGGAGTCAAANCCAATAATTTGGCAAAGGTTGCTGTATATTGTGGTCAAATTTCGTAAAGAACGGTTGCGTCCTCTCAGAGATATGAGCGTTCAAAGATGTACAATTTAAATGAAACGCCCTGTATATCGATGAATAGACCATCGAATGCTCTTTCATATGACATATAATACATTTTTATCAGTACCCCCACATCGGAAAAAAGCTTGAAGTTCACTAAAATTACGAAAATTGGGATATTCGACTTTCATTTTCGACATGTGAGGATGGAAAAATCCAAATGATACATCTAATATAGAGTGATGGACAAAATTGTTGCAATGTTCGACACATTGCCAGTTTATGACTCATAGCTCGAGTATGACGAGTTCAATTTTACATAAATTTCAGTCAATCATACTGAAACTTCCTGGTTTTGGATTGCCGCTCGTCACGTCAATTGGCCCCCTATTGGATGAGCTGCAGCTATTGAAAGCTAACCAAGTCATTGCAACAGTTTTGTCCCTACGTCCCACGCTTTCCATCCACGATATGAAAAATCCCCCACAGCCTCCCATTTCCGAAATGAAACCGGGCCAGAAGACACCTAAGCAAGCCTGTAGCTAGCCTAGGTGTAGATGTGATAGGCTTAGGGTAGGTTAGGGTTGCGTTCCATTTGAACGTTCCTGACAACATGAAACCTGTTTCCCAAGAAACTTGCGACAGCATCGCCTCACTCGTCGACCATGACCTCTCGACGCGTCGAATTGCAGTCCAGCTTGGCATAAGCTATTGCACCGTAACCCGGGTGCGTTCTCAAGTCACACCCGACGCATCAAAGAGCAATGGTGGGCGTCCATCCAAGCTTTCCGCTGCCGAAGAGCGCTCTCAGTAGTCCTACCACTGTAGCCCAGTCCAACTGTGTCGTCACGTTCGCTGCTCCGTCGAGTTTTCGTCGTGGAGCCATCTTACGGATGCCAAAACTGTTGGCAGAGCTCTGGAAGAAGCTGGTCTGAGGGCAACAACCAAGCGAAAGAAGCCGCAACTACAGCCGCGGCATATCCGACAGCGGCTGGAATTCGCCCGCCGTCACCAACACTGGACTGTCGAGGACTGGAAACGCATAATTTGGACAGACGAGACAAAAATCAACCTTAAGAGGTCGGATGGGCGGTGGAAACAGCCCGGCGAAGCCCTAGCAGAGCGGCACGTGATGGAGTCGGGTTTGGCTGTAAAATCCAAGGAAGAATGGATGTCAGCCTCTATGCAAGCATCCTCGAGGAAAAATTGCTCTAGACACTGGCGAATTACCGCCTCGAAGTGGGAGAGGTGGTGTTTCAGCAGGACAATGATCCGAAACCCACCTCGCGACTGGCTCGCAAATGGTTCCAGAACCATGGAATCGAGGTCCTAGAATGGCCAGCACAGTTGCCAGACCAATAGAGCACTAGTGGCAACATTTGATGTGGAGGCTGGCGAGGTAAGAGAATGAGCCCGTCAGCATCCACGAGCTCTGGCAGCGGGACAAGACTGAATAGGACGCCATTCCAGTCCAAACATGCTGGATTTCATTGAAAGCATGCCTTGAAGGGTTCAGGCAGTGTTGAATGCCAAAGGCAAGCACACAAAGTATTAATAAATTCGTTTTTTCGGATGCCTGAGTGAAAGGGACAAAACTGTTGCAATGACCTCGTTCGCTTTGAACTGCCACTTAGACAATAGGAGGCCAATTGACATGTGAATAGAAGCTAAATTAAACACGTCATACTCGATATATGAGTCATGAACTGGCAATGTGTAGAACATTGCAACAGTTTTGTTCCTCACTGTATATAGACGATCGTGACTGACTGACTGACGCTAATTCTAACCATGTTCTAAAAGGGTTAGAAATCTGAGACTTGGTACATATGTACTTCTTGGGATGTAGAGTTTCATGTTGTCAGGAACGTTCAAATGGAACGCAACCCTAACCTACCCTAAGCCTATCACATCTACACCTAGGCTAGCTACAGGCTTGCTTAGGTGTACTTCCATGTCCCGTTGCTTAAATAAAACGGAGTGGCATGGAAAACTGAAACGTGGCATGGACGTGCTTACCGACACGATGAGTTCAGGAAAAATACAAAATTTTAGATCCATGCCCTGGGGGTACAAATTTTGGGGTAAAACGTTTTTCTTGAATATATTTTGTGACAGATGAGGATGTCATTCAGAGAGTCTACTAGACGGGGTGGGTTCGGTGGTGTAGTAGTAGCATATCTGTCCGGCAATTAGAAGGTCTGGATTCATTTCCTAGCCATTCGTAGGCTTTCTTTTGGCGTTTTTTTTTCCTTTCATGTCCCGTTACTCATACCCCAACCATAGCATTATTTTTACTTGAGTAAAACGGAGAGACATGGAAAGCTGAAACTTGGCGTAGATGTGCCTACCGAGATGATGAGTTCAGGAAAAATCCGAAATTTGAGATACATGCCCTGGGGGCATATTTTTATGAGCGGACGTTTTCAAGTATTTTTTTTGTTGTCCTGGTGTATTGAGCTGGTGTG